ATTTGTTGAAAAAATAATCATGTTGACTGGGGCTTTACTAAACAAATTGTTCATAGAACTAAAATCAAGATTTGTCTTTTGCATATATAAAAAAAAGTTAATGAAAAAATGCCCAGACTAAAAGAGAAAGAAAAAGGAATCCCATTACCCTAGCAAGCCATCTATTTTGCTTTCCTTATCCTCTGAAAAGATTACTGATGAAGAGTCAGATGTTGATTTTAGTTCTCATTACAATTCTTGAGCAAGTCATCATATTTGCTGGTATATAAGACATATTTAAATATTAAAAAGGAAAATTTTGGTCAGGCACAGTGGTTCACACCTACTGTAATCGCAGCACTTTCAGAGGCCAAAGTGGGCAGATAGCTAGAGCCCAGGAATTCAAGATCAGCCTAGGCAACATGGTAAAACCCCGTCTTAAAAAATAAATAAACAGCCCGGGCACGGTGGCTCACGCTTGTAATCCCAGTACTTTGGGAGGCCAAGGCTGGCAGATCACGAGGTCAGGAGATCAAGACCATCCTGGCTAACATGGTGAAATCCCGTCTCTACTAAAAATATTAAAAAATAGCTAGGTGTGGTGGCGGGCGCCTGTAGTCCCAGCTACTCGGGAGGCTGAGGCAGGAGAATGGTGTGAACCCAAGAGGCGGAGCTTGCAGTGAACCGAGATAGTGCCACTGCACTCCAGCCTTGGCAACAGAGCAACACTCCGTCTCAAAATAAAATAAAATAATTTTCTAAAAGAAAAGCACTTTAAGAAAGTATTTCATCATGCATGTGCTAAAGGCAATTTTAAAGTGCTTTGGTAAAGGAAAAATTAATTATATTAATATAGAGTATGCTATGAATAATTTTTTTTTTTTTTTTTTAAGACAGGTTCTTGTTCTGTTGCCCAGGTCAGAACATAGTGGTACAATCATAGCTCCCTGCAGCCTTGAATTCCTGGGCTCAACTGATCCACCTGCCTCAGCTTCCCAAAGCTGGGATTACAGGTGCATGCTACCATGCCCTACTAATTTTTTTTGGAAGAAATGGGGTCTTACTTCCCAGGCTAGCAGAATTCTATTAACAAAATACAACATAAAAATCACATAGCTAGCCCGGGCATGATGGCTTATGCCTGTAATCCCAGCACTTTGGGAGGCCAAGGCAGGTGGATCACCAGAGGTCAGGAGTTCAAGACCAGCCTGGCCAACATGGTGAAACCCTGTCTCTACTAAAAATACAAAAATTAGCCAGACATGGTGGCGGGTGCCTGTAATCCCAGCTACTCAGGAGGGTGAGGCAGGAGAATCGCTTGAACCGGTGAGGCGGAGGTTGCAGTGAGCGGAGATTGTGCCATTGCACTCCAGCCTGGGTGACAAGAGCAAAACTCCGTCTTAAAAAAGAAAAAAAAAAAAAAAACACATAGCTAAAAAGAAATATTCATGTCAATGGATACTAAAAAAGAACAAATAACAAAACATATTAGGTTTATTGGTAAATGAAGTCCCACACCACACATATAGTAATCTTGTGAATATAGGTAACCAAAAAGCAAACTGTGAAATAAAGTGTCATTAATTTGAAATAGGAATTAATTAGTTCAGACAAAGCACAGTACTTATAAACAAATGTCTCAGTGGAAATTAATTTACTGGGCCGGGCGCAATGGCTCACGCTTATAATCTGAGCATTTTGGGAGGCGGGCAGATCACCTGAGACCAGGAGTTTGAGAACAGCCTGGTCAACATGGTGAAACTCCGTCTCTACTAAAAATACAAAATTTAGCTGGGTTTCCAGAAGGCTTTCAATTTACTTTGCCCATATCCATCAGGGGAATAACTATCTATAGTAGCTATAGATAGTAACAGTAAATGAGCATTGACTTCAACTTAAAATCATCAGCTGCATTGGCCCCTAACAAGAGAGAAAGCCTGTCCTTTGAAGCTTTTTTTTTTCTTTTTTTTGGATGGAGTACAGTGGTACAATCACAGCTCACTACAGCCTTGACATCCCAGACTCAAGTGATCCTCCCACCTCAGCCTTCCAATTAGCTGGACCACAGGTGCACACTATAATGCCCATCTAATTTTTAAATGTTTTGTAGAGATCGGTTCTTGCTATGTTGCCCAGGCTGGTCTTGAACTCCTATGCTCAAGCAATCCTCCCACCTTGGTCTCCCAAAGTGCTGGGATTACACGTGTGAGTCACTGTGACCAGCTCCTTTCAAGCCAGGTAATACTTCTCCTTTCCACCTATGAAAGTCTGAGATGGCATCTTCTTCCAATAGAAGGCTGTTTCATCTGCACTGAAAATCTGTTGTTTAGTGTACCCACTTTCATTTTCTGCAGCTTCTGCATCAGTACTTGCTGTTTCACTTTGGACTTTTGTTATAGAGAAGGTTTCTTTCCTTAAATCTCAACAACCAACTTCTGTTTTTTTTTTAGATAGTCTTGCTCTGTCACCCCGGCTGGAGTGTGGTGGCACAATCACAGCTCCACTGCAGCCTCGACCTCAATGGCTCAAGCCAGCCTTCCTTCTCAGCCTCCCAAGCAGCTGGGACTATAGGTGTGCACCACCACATCTGGCTAAATTGTTTTGTATTTTGTAGAGACAGCATTTCACCATGTTGCCCAGGCTGGTCTCAAACTCCTGGGTTCAAGCAATCCACCCACCTCGGCCTCCCAAAGTGCTGGGGTTACAGGCATGAGCCATTGCACCTAGCCAACATTTGCTACTTTCAAACTTCTGCAGCTTCCTCACCTCTCAGCCTTCACAGAATTGAAGAGAGTTAGGGCCTTGTTCTGGATTAGAGTTTGGTTTAAAGGAATGCTGTGGCTGGTTTGATCTTCTACTCATACCACTCAAACTTCCTCCATATCAGCTTATAACTGGAGTAGCACTTTTAATTTCCATGTATTTGTTTGTTTGATGGAGTTTCGCTCTTGTTGCCCAAGCTGGAGTGCAATGGTGTGTTCTCAGTGCACTGCAACCTCTGCCTCCCGGGTTCAAGTGATTCTCCTGCCTCAGCCTCCCAAAGAGCTGGAATTACAGGTGTGTGCCACCATGCCCGGCTAATTTTGTATTTTTAGTAGAGATGGGGGTTCACCATGTTGGTCAGGTTGGTCTTGAACTCCTGACCTCATGTGATCCACCCACCTCAGCCTCCCAAAGTGCTGGGATTACAAGCGTGAGCCACCGCGCCCGGCCCCATTTTTTTCTTCATATTCACAATTTGGCATGACTTCACATGTCTTCCCAGCTACTCGGGAGGCTGAGGCAGAATGGTGTGAACCTGGGAGGCAGAGCTTGCAGTGAGCCGAGATCGCGCCACCGCACTCCAGCCTGGGCAACAGAGTGAGGCTCCATCTCAAAAAAAAAAAAAAAATCAAACCAACAAAAAAAAAGGAAATGCTGTCAACAGACTTGCTCAACAAGTACATGTCAGTTCCACGCTCCTCAGTCTCATAAAGTCAGGGACTAGAGACCAATCTGTAATTATCAATACGTACCTGCCTTTGAGTGAACCTTCAATGCCAACTAGGAAGGGCGCTTCCAAAACGACGTTATTTGTAACTCCTAGGAACACAAACACGGGTCAGAACTCATACTCTGCGGGCCTTGAAATGGAAAATCTCTCCTCTAGACAGACTCATCCCGGCCATAAATGTCAGGAGACTCCCCAGTTCCCTGCCCCATCCCCAGGCCAAGGAGTTATGTGCTTCCAAATTTTCATTCCGTTTTCTTCCCCAGGTGGTTCTCTGCCACCCGGTGGAGAAGGCGGGAACAACCTCTCGGGCTAGCCTCTGCCTTTCCCGAACGCCTCACTGCACTCACTGGAGAAGACCACGGCCCCAAGGGACCGCGACAGGTCCCAGGCGAGGTGCACCGAGTCGGCGAGCACGGCGTGGCACTGTGCGCACTGGAAAACAGCGCACCTCTCAGGCTGCAGCCAAGACGGCAGCTGCGAGACGGCGGCCGGCTCCTCAGCCCCCAGCCCTGCGGGGCCGAGCGGCGAGGACCCCTTCACCACCTGTGTATCCCACTCCATGGAGGTCGTAAAAGAAGCTTCGTCAATCGCCCTCTCAGTGCCATCACAAAAGTCACCCTGGGGCGGCGTTGCACAAGGCGAGCGATGCCGCCGCGGCTGAGCCGCCATCTTCTCTCAGCCGGCGCCGTCGTTTCGAATACACGCTAGGCCCCGCCCCAAGCACAGCTCCTGCGTCCTCATTGGACATCGTGGGCAATCCAAGCACTGGAGTCCCAGTCCGCGCACTCGTTACCTGAACCGGCCTTACAGGCCCTTCGGCGCCTGCGTATTCGTGAAGTGTGAGAAAAGCGCGCGACTGTTGGGACGGGAAATCAGCCTTTCTATTGGTCAGGGTTAGAAACCCCGCCTTTGAGTCATTTTCAACCAATGGAAGCGCGGCATTCTTCATTTAAACTGTCTATAAATTTCTGCTTAGTCAGAATTAAGAGTGGCGCCAGGGATTTGAACCTCGCTTACGAGATTTGGTGATCCATCTTCAGAGTATCGCCAGGATTTTGAATCGCGATGATCATCCCTTCCCTAGAGGAGCTGGACTCCCTCAAGTACAGTGACCTGCAGAACTTAGCCAAGAGTCTGGGTCTCCGAGCCAACCTGCGGGTACGGCGCTGGCGGGGCAGTTCCCTGGGCGGGCGCGGCGGGAGTAGCGGCCTCAGGGAGATGCGGTGCGAAGGGACCGAGCGGGAAGCCCGGGGACTGAAGCAGCCGTCCCTGCCCCTCGGGCGGTAGATGTGGTTCACGGTGGTCCCAGTTAGAACTCTGATAAACGGAAGAGGAACTGTAGTTTTCACCTCATTTTGAGGCTGGCTTGTCTGGGTGCTCACATGATAAGCCTCTGTTCCGAGGGGTGGTTTGTTGTTTTTCGTTTTTTGTGGTTTTTTTTTTTTTTTTTTGAAATTACTTTATACCTCTCAGGGCATCGATTACGAAACGCAGGCCCAGAAAGCAGAAGGGGTGTCGTTAATCGTTAGACAGTTAAGTAAATAATTGGCTCAGCTTCTAGAAAACCCCACACAGACTTCAGTGATTTGTAATATTGCCGATAATCTCTTGATACTTTATTGATGGACCTGTCAGGGGGAAAGAAAAAATCGACTTTTAGGGGACCACCTCCTTGGGTAAATTTTTATAACTCAGCCCTGATCTAGTATACTCATGTACTTATTGATGACTGTTGTGGTGATGGTATCTATCAAAACCAGTAAGGTCTTTGACTCCGAGGCTACAAGATGTTAGGAGAATTGGCCGGGCGCGGTGACTCATGCCTGTAATCCCAACACTTTGGGAGGCCAAGGTAGTTGGATCACCTGAGGTCAGGATTTCGAGACCAGCCTGGCCATTAAAAAATTAGCCGGGCGTGGTGGCACACGCCTGTGATCCCAGCTACTCGCCTGTGATCCCAGCTACTCGGGAGGCTGAGGCAGGAGAATCGCCTGAACCTGGGAAGCCAAGGTGGCAGTGAGCCAAGATCGCACCCACTGCACTCCAACCTCGGTGACAGAGCGAGACTCAGTCTCAAACAAAACAAAAACAAACAAACAAAAAACAAGATGTTAGAAGATTTGGGGATTCAATGTAGGATAGCGGTTTTATATATTTTGTTAATAGTTTGAGACTTCCCACATAATACTGCTGTATGCTCCCTAGGTTTGTCCTGCAGGCTATGATGATACTGACACTGAATAAATGCCTAAATCAGTCGTCACAAATGTTTTTCTTTTTTTTTTTCTTTGAGACAGAGCCTTACTCTGTCGCCGGGACTGGAGTGCAGTGGCGCGATCTCGGCTTACCACAACCTCCACCTCCCGAGTTCAAGCGATTCTCCTGCCTCAGGCTCCTGAGTAGCTGGGATTACAGGCGCGTGTCACCATGCCCGGCTAATTTTTGTATGTTTAGTAGAGACTGGAGTTCACCATGTTGGTCAGGCTGGTCTCGAACTCCTGATCTCATGATCCGCCCGCCTCAGCCCCCCAAAGTGCTGGGATTACAGGCGTGAGCCACCACGCCCGGCCTAAATTGTTTAAACAAAATAATCAGGGCCTAAGTGCCTGTTGGGGCTGAATGACCAAAGGGTTTTCCTTGGGGATATTTCTGGGCTATAGTGGTTTGTGGCTCCCCTATACTTTGTAAACAAAGCCTTAATATCTCAGCCTAAATTCCTCAGGCTTTTTTGCTGCCTAGCTAGAATCTTTTATCCACGGCTGCATCCCTGAACACTTGGAACTTTTATCTGTCTTTGTCCCATTGCTCATTTTGACCCTTTGGCCTCAGATCACCTTCTTTCTCCTTTATCTGCCTGACTCTGTGTGTTTGTGTGTGTGTGTGTGTGTGTGTGTGTGTGTGTGTATTTTTAGTAGAGATTGGGTTTCACCATCTTGCCCAGGCTGGTCTTGAACTCCTGGGCTCAAGCGATCCTCTGGCCTCCCAAAGCCCTGGGATTATAGGCGTGACCCACCACGCCTGGCCCATATCAAGTATTTATAGGTGAAATGTTACGATACCTGTAAAATTTGCTGTAGAATACTCAAGGAAAAAGAGGGAAACTAGATGAAGTAAGAACGCAGAATGTTAATAATTACTGAAACTGCTAATAGGTACATGGGGGGATTGCACTATTCTCTCTACTTTTGTAGAAATTTTCCATAATAAGATGTTTTAAATTATAAACTGTTGGTACAACCCAGGTGCTCATTAAGTCAATTGCCTTTTGAAATTCTAGTACGTAGCAAAAAAATTTATAAATTGCTCTAATTATCAAGATTTGATTAAAATGAAACACTACAGTTTAAATAAATTAAATAAATTTTACTAGTATAAATATACTAGTATAATAGTGTAAATACTATTTCAGTTTAATCAAATCTTGATAATTTTACTAGTATGATATTATTAAAAATAAATTTATGGCCGGGCATGCTGGCTTGCGCCTGTAATCCCAGCATTTGGGAGGCCGAGGCAGGTGTATCACCTGAGGTCAGGAGTTTGAGACCAGACTGGCCAACATGGCAAAACCCCATCTCTACTAAAAATACAAAAATTAGCCGGGCGTGGTGACG